AAAAAAAAAAAAAAAATTGCACCACTATTCACTTATGTATTTTTTTTTCTTACCTTTTTTCTTTATATGCTTCTGTATTTGTGTTAGTTAATGCGAAAGAGTTATTTTGAAACTACAGTTTTGCTAGTTGAAGAGCTTAAAACTCAACTACGTATATCTTCAACTCGAAATTTAACTCAAATACTTCTTGTAGCAAAAGAGCCGTGAGATAACATAATAAAAAAATAAAAAAAAAAAAAAGGGCTGCCTTGAAATTTCAGAAAGCATGCTAACGTTATTCTTTACTTGCCAAACCTTGTCTCCTCATAAACTTGCCTTCAAACCTCAATATTCTTTGTCCTTTGTATTCTCCATTCTTTCTGCAATTTAAACAATTTATTCCCAGCTTATGCATGGCGTCGCAAGCTCATAATGTCTGGAGGAGAATCAGGGAGGCCCTTCGAGTATACGCCTACATGGGTCATCGCCATTGTTTGTTTTATCATCGTTTTCATCTCACTTGTTGCCGAGCGCGCTCTTCATAATCTCGGGAAGGTACTCAACCTTAATATTTCCACAAACAACTGTTAGTTTTTTTTTTTTAATAAACAAAAGTTCTCTATATATTTCTAAATTTCTCTCTCATGGCAATCAGTACTTTAAGAGGAAGAACCAGGATGCTCTATATAATGCACTGGAAAAAGTAAAGGAAGGTTTGTTATGGAGTTGTTTAAACATATGCAGCTGCTTTGTCAACATATTATAACCAAGTCAATTGCCTCTGAGTCGCTCTTTCTTTTTTCTCTCTTCTTTCATTCGATTTTTCAGAGCTGATGCTTTTGGGATTTATCTCCCTTCTCATGACGGTCTTTCAAGGTCTCATAAGTCGCCTTTGCATTCCCGAGCATCTCGAGAATATCATGCTCCCGTGCAAAATGCCAGCTGCTCATCATGAATCTGACATGAATACTGTTAGAAGGCTTTTAGCTGAAGAAGTTTCACAACGATGTTCAGAGGTATCAGTTATCAAACAATAAGCAAACTAACGTTCTCTTTGTTATCTCCACACAATACCACCATAAAAGACTTCTTGCCAGTATAGGTATTCATATAAACTGTTATCTAAATAATGATTTACCATACCACTCGCCATTTTGTTTTTTTTTTTTTTTGGAACCATTTCGGACAGGGAGAAGTCCCATTTCTATCTCTAGAAGCATTGCATCAGCTGCACATGTTCATATTTGTCTTGGCCGTTGTGTATGTGTTCTTTTGTGCCTCAACCATGGTTCTTGGAGGCATCAAGGTATCTATCTGCACCTGAAACAAACACCTCAAAGACAAATTACTCGATTAAAAGTGGAAAACCTGTGAAGTGATATACACAAGTTATTTGATAATTTTATGTCTGGATTTAAAGACTGCTCTACACACTTAATGTTAACGCTAGTTTTCAATCCCCAAAAATTAACATGTCAAGTGGTAAACAAACACAAGATTCATTACCAGTTTCGTGCAATCCATTCCCTGTATTTTCAGGCCGTGATAAAATCATGAGTAAATATGTTGCAAGTGAAATGAAGCATATTATCTATGGTTATCTGCATGTCTAGTTGTTAGTGCATGTGAGCATCCAAATTTTGTTCAATACAGAATGGATCACACAGGACAAGCTGTTCATAGTACGAATATAAAATAGTTTCTTGCTTCTAAGCTACATGTTATACAGATAAGTCAATGGAGACATTGGGAGAACTCGATTATGAATGAATCATCAAGACATCATAGAGGTATAAGAAGAACAAAAAAATGATTATTTCTTTTAACATATTTATTTTTTATTAGTCGAGGGAGGGTTTTTTTAAGAGAATTGCCATCTTCCAAGCAATAATTTGAACTTCTGGTGCTTCTGGTGCATAGTACATGTTCCACATGCGCATCTACAAGAGTTCACAGCACGAACAGGCAACTATTGGAGAAAATTCCGAGTCGTGAGTTGGATAGTAAGTTACCTCACAAATGCAATTGGATGGTGCAAGGCATTTGGCTTCTCTTTAGATCCTTGCAACTTCAGCTCAGTAGCCAAATGACAAATGTTGAGAAAAAATATCTTTTGATCCTTATGTGTGCAGGCGGCATTTTTCAAGCAATTTTATGGATCAGTGACTAGGTCTGACTATATAGCCCTACGTTCTGGATTCATACGTGTAAAACTCCTGTCCTAAGACTAGCAACTTATTCTGCCAAGTAGTAAAAAACTGAATCTGATCTCACTCGGTACAGGAACATTGCCCGAGCAACCCAAACTACAATTTCCACAGGTATTTGCTGAGGACACTGGAGGAAGATTTCAGAAGGATTATAGGTGTAAGGTGATAACATGATGATTATAATTGAATACCAATCTATAACATTGTTGTAAATTCATATTGATACTAGTGACCTGATATTGCACAGCTGGTACTTGTGGCTGTTTGTTGTACTCTTCTTGCTTGTAAACATCGCAGGTACACCCCTTATTTAGACATTTCCTATACTCATGCAATAAAGAACTCCCGTTTCTCACACCAAATCACTAACTCTTTGACATTCATGGTGTCAAAATTTGCAGGGTGGCATACATACTTTTGGCTATCATTCTTACCTCTAATAGTAAGTTAAATTTCAAGAAATTGGAGTAATAATTACGACTACCCCTGAGGTTTACCCTATTTTCGATAAACAAAAAAGAAAGAAAAAAAAAATCAAACTAGCTTTTCTGCAAATACCTCCTTGAACTTCAAGTATTAAAAAGTGCCACTTTGGAATACAGTTAGCAATTTAGCATTCTATGTACTTTGAAAGATGCAGGCTTCATTACTTTGGGCGTGTTTAGTTACAGACGTAGTTAGGGGTAGTTTATTACAGTTACATAAAAAAGAATCTGAACAGTTTAAAAAGGAAAATAAGAAAACTGAAAAGAATTTATAGGTACCTGATCATTGGTCGTGTAATTCAGCTGCTGCTAATTGTTGGAGCTAAATTAGAGCATATAATAACTCAACTAGCCAAAGATGCTCAAGAAAGAGCAGGGGGTGCTGAAGGAACACTGGTTAGGCCCTCTGATGAACTTTTTTGGTTCCAAAAGCCGGTTCTCGTCCTATACTTGATTCACTTCATCTTATTCCAAAACTCGTTCGAGATAGCATTCTTCTTGTGGATTTGGGTGAGTAGACATGCCCTTCATTCACTAAATCCAGCCACTATAACAGATTAAATACACTTGATATAGTTCAATTCTTTTACGGTCCAGAGCACGTATGGCTTTGAATCTTGCATCATGGAGGAGTTGAATTTCATCATCCCAAGAATTGTCATTGGGTATTATTTCATAAGCCAAAGACAAAGATAACTGCTATATATTAAAGGACTTGATTTCATTTTTCATGGTGACTAATTTTTTAGCAAATTATCATTGCAGGATTATTGTGCAAGTCCTCTGCAGTTACAGCACTCTGCCTCTATATGCTTTAGTTTCACAGGTATAACTAAGTTTCGAGTAAGAGTGCAAGACAAAAACTCATTAACTAATGGGAGAGTCACATGCTTACAAATAGTACTATTAAAGATACAGAAAAACTTTGGTGGCGATAGGATATAAGATTTTTCATTATTGTTTAGTTAGTCAAGATTTATCTCATTGTAGTTATATTTGAAAAAAAATAATAAAAATCAGAAAAATATATTATTCATTTGATATCTTGTTTTCATACAATTCTACTATGGCAATTAAAAATGTAAAAATGAATTATTATTTGTGATAGGAAAAGTTGCACACAGACGGATTTATCATGAAAGAAATATGCCAAAACTGTTACATCAGAGTGTCGCGTACTTACCGAATTATTTGGCTCTCAAATGCAGATGGGGAGCATGTTCAAAGAAACTTTGTTCGCGCAATTCACCAAAGACCTGCTTCTGACATGGGTTTCAGACACAAAGCACGGTTCTTCCAGAACTGATGGAAGTATAAATAGACTGACATTTGAATCAACTAATTCCACTTGCCTCGCTCAACAAATGGCTATGGACAGTGCAACTACATCATCTGAGATCGAACTTTCCAGTCCAGAAAATATTAGTACTTCAACAAGTACTAAATAATTCAACATATGTTTTACTCTACAGCTCCTGACATGGAATAAGGTAAAAATAGAACTTTTCCTGTCACAATTCACAAACTGTGAGATACTGAAAAGAGCTGGTATTATTTCAAACAGAAATTACAAATAGAAAGCATTCATTTCTGTGGACAAACATATACATCAAGAGACTGAAGAGATCTAAACCAACATGAAAGCTACAATGAAGGCAATGAAGTGAAAAAACTAGGATTAGTGTGTGTACATAAGTTTATCCATTCAAAAATCTCTACTGTGCAATGGTGGAGTCTTGCCCCTTGGACTTTGCTTTAAGGTCGTTCAAAGTTCTCTTTGTATAGACTCCAAAAGCAACTATAGTGACTATTGCAAAGATGAAGGAGATGGCATTGTAAATAATCTCCACTGGAGTCATCACATGGTTCCCGTACTTGACATCTGCTAATGTCCTCAACAACCTACCACTGCATAGAACCAAAAATAATTTAGCAAAGCCGAGACTTAAGGTACAGCTCGTGACCAAGTATTCTATTATACCTCACATAATGATAATCAAGTATAAAGTAAAGAAAAAACTAAAAAGCTAATCAAACGATTACGACAATATAAAAATTGTTCATGCAGTTGAGAATGCAAGAAGCTACTACTGTGTGTATGTGTGTGTGGAGAGAGAGAGAGAGAGAGAGAGAGAGAGAGAGAGAGAGAGAGAGAGAGAGAG